ACAGATAACTTATAACAGATAAAAGATAAAATATGACAGATAACAGATAAAAAGTAACAGATAGAAGAAAACAGGTAACAGATAACAAATAACTGATAACTGAAAACTAAAAAATGAAAACTGAAATCTGAAGAATGAAAAATGAAAAATGAAAAATGAAAAATGAAAAATGAAAAATTGAAAATTGAAAATTGAAAATTGAAAATTAAAAATCAAAAATCAAAAATCAAAAATCAAAAATCAAAACTCAAAAATCAAAAATCAAAGATCAAAAATCAAAAAATCAAATCGAAAAATCGAAAAATCGAAAAATCGAAAAATCGAAAAATCGAAAAATCGAAAAATCGAAAAATCGAAAAATCGAAAAATCGAAAAATCGAAAAATCGAAAAATCGAAAAATCGAAAAATCGAAAAATCGAAAAATCGAAAAATCGAAAAATCGAAAAATCGAAAAATCGAAAAATCGAAAAATCGAAAAATCGAAAAATCGTAAAATCGTAAAATCGTAAAATCGAAAAATCGAAAAATCGAAAAATCGAAAAATCGAAAAATCGAAAAATCGAAAAATCGAAAAATCGAAAAATCGAAAAATCGAAAAATCGAAAAATCGAAAAATCGAAAAATCGAAAAATCGAAAAATCGAAAAATCGAAAAATCGAAAATCGAAAAATAGAAAAATAGAAAAATTAAAAATTAAAAATTAAAATAGAAAAATTAAAAATGAAAAATTAAAAATTAAAATAGAAAAATGAAAAATGAAAACTGATAACTTATAAAAGATAACAGATACCAGATAGCAGATACCATAAACCAGATACTAGACACCAGATACCAGACACCAGATACCAGATACCAGACACCAGATACCAGATACCAGATGCCAGACACCAGACATCAGATACCAGACATCAGATACCAGACACCAGACACCAGATACCAGACACCAGACACCAGAAACCAGATACCAGATACGAGATATCAGATACCAGATACCAGACACCAGATACCAGACACCAGATACAAGATACCAGATACCAGACACCAGAAACGAGATACGAGATACCAGATACCAGATACCAGACACCAGATACCAGATACCAAACACCAGATACCAGATACCAGCCACCAGATACCAGACACCAGATACCAGACACCAGATGCCAGACACCAGATACCAGACACCAGATACCAGATACCAGACACCAGACACCAGATACCAGACATCAGATACCAGACACCAGATACCAGATACCAAACATCAGATACCTGATACCAGATACCAGATACCAGACATCAGATACCAGACACCAGAAACCAGATACCAGATACGAGATACCAGATACCAGATACCAGACACCAGACACCAGATACCAGATACCAAACACCAGATACGAGATACCAGATACCAGATACCTAATACGAGATACCAGATACCAGACACCAGATACCAGACACCAGATACCAGACATCAGATACCAGACACCAGATACCAGACACCAGATACGAGATACCAGATACCAGATACCAGACACCAGATACCAGATACCAGACAGCAGATACCAGATACCAGACACCAGACACCAGATACCAAATACGAGATACCAGATACCAGACACCAGACACCAGATACCAGACACCAGACACCAGATACCAGACACCAGACACCCGATACCAGACATCACATACCAGACACCAGACACCAGATACCAGATACCAGACATCAGATACCAGACACCAGAAACCAGAAACCAGATACCAGATACCAGATACCAGACACCAGATACCAGATACCAGATACCTGATACCAGACACCGGATACCGGATACCAGATACCAGATACCAGACACCAGACACCAGATACCAAATACCAGATACCTGAAACCAGATACCAGATACCAGATACCAGACACCATACACCAGATACCAGTTAACAGATCAAAGATGCCAAAGGATAGAAAATGATTAGTGATAGTTATCGCTAGCATTGCATTAGCATACCAGCAACTGCGCTACGTGAGGTTTTAAATAAAGACATCAGCGTACAATATTTGGCATAGCGTTAGCATGCCAGAAACTGCGCTAGTCGATAATATTAAGCGGTGATCTTTTGTTTAGATTTGGTAGTAATAGGTATAATTGGTAGGGATTCGGAAATTGTCGTATGACGTCGACGCGGTTTTTCCGTTTTTTTCCCGGTTCGCGAAACGTCCGGAGGGAAAGAGGTACCGTTTCGGAAAGTAGAAACTCGGCGCTTTACCGGGAAGCGGGAGCCGTCGCGGTGAGAGGAACGGATCGGATCGAAAACGGCCGGTAAAGTCGAAAAAACCGGTAGATTTTCGTTCTGTCCGACGTTCAACATAGGTTTCCGCCGAAGACAAAGGAGCTGCGAACCTGGCGATTTTTGCCAGAGAAAGCCCCGGCTTCGGGCTCAAAGATAGCGGCTTTCTTTTTTTTTCTTTATGCCTTTTTGTTCGAAAATTTCGATTTTTTTGATTTCCTCGACTACGCGCTACTTTCCGATTTTTCCGGTTTTTTTCCGGGTTCGCGGAACGTTTGGAAGGAAAACGATACCGTTTTGGAAACTAGAAACTCGGCGCTTTACGATGGATCTAGAGTTGTCGCGGTAGGAGGAACGAACGCGATCGAAAATGGCCGGTAAAGTTGAAAAATCGGTAGATTTTCGTGCCGTTCGACGCGCTTTTTCTATCTCCTCCGAAGATAAAGGAGCTACGAACCTGACGATTTTTGCGTGAGAAAGCCCGGACATCGGACTCAAAGATAGCGTCTTTTTTTTTCCTTTATCCCTTGTCGTTCAAAAGTTTCGATTTTTTAAAAATTGCCCGACAACACGCTACTTTTCGACGCGCGAAAAAGTCACTTTGTCATCCGACTCTGTGTTCGCCTATTACTACCGTACGTGAGCGAGTAAAAATTATACAGCTATCGAAATATAACGATAATGAGCTGAGGAAACGATTCTGACCGTTAGAATTACCGTCAAATTTCGAAAAAGTAAACTTTGAGCGCCTCAAAAGTACCGATGACAGCCGTTTTTCGGCGTACTTTGTCTTCGTCGATACGGACCTGCGTTATGGAGCGACGTAGCTACGATTTTTTTTCGCAAAACGAAAGACCAAAGTCTCCTGATTAAACCGACATATGACACGTTACCCGATCGCATTTTTTAAACTCGGCAGATTAGAAAATTCAAAGATATGCAGATATTTTTAGTTTGAAGTTTCAATTTTGAATTTCCCCTCCAGATCCCCGGATTCCTGTTAGGCGGGGTAATGTAGGTATAATCGTATTACGAAAGCGAGCGAGTGCGAGCGGAACGTCCGAAACGTGCCATTTTCGGCTTTATGTTGGTCGCTTCATCGAATATTGGATCACGCCAAATAGAATTGTCCTTTTTTACGCGTGAAAATCAACATTTTCGAAAAGATTCAAAATTTCTATATTTCATAGTCTAAACGGACCGGACTATAGCCATTATTATAATGATAATCAAGTATGCCTTGGCAACGTTGTAATTTTACCGGCAACTAAGCATTTAGGCTTTGACGTTTAGTGATTTGTTTACAAAAGTCATCATCACTTTCAATACGATAAATATGATTGTAAACCCTAATGAGTGGCATAATTTTAGTTGAACGTTTATATGGATCCATCCTAAAAAGGCAACAAGTCCACAATATAGCAAAACTTTGCGCTTATAACAGTGTGTCTTGCAAGTGTCTAGTGATCTGTTTACAGTTTTTCGGTTCAGACGACGTACCGCAGTGTATCTATAGATAATTTAGTTCATCTTTCAAGACGTTTGAGAGCGGTTTGAAAGGTAGCCTTATTAATCGTCAGCAAATTTAAATGAGGTAAACAATTTTCATTCCTGTCTTTTACCCCCAACTATGTAGTGGAATCGGGTGTGACGTTTAGCAATTTATAGAAGTCATCATCAGCTTAAATACGACAAATATGATTGTAAGACCTAATCAGTGCCAAAGATCAATTCCTGAAGAGACCAGAAATCCACAACATAGCAAGACTTTGTGCTTATAGCATAATATAATAACAGATAACAGTCTAGTGATACCGGGTGCCGAGTGTTTAGTTTTTCGGTTCAGACGAAGTGCCCCAGTGTATATCTATCGTGATAATGTATTTCATCTTTGAAGAAGTTTGAGAGGTACCCTTATTAATCGTCAGCAGATTTAAATAAGGTAAGAATAATTTTCATTCCTGTCAAATCATAAAACATTTACACTGAAGAAAGAACGTGCTATCCTTTGGCGAACACAGTTGTGTCAAGCGCCATTTTTTTGCAAGTCGTGCGGTAGCTAAACTAATGCGACGTTGCCGGATCCTCACATAAATCTGAGTTTGTCATACAATTTTATAGAGGGCATTAATGCTACATCGAAGATTTTATAAATAAAAAATGAAAAATGGAAAATGAAAAATGAAAACTGATAACTTATAAGCGCTTTTGAGCCGAGCATTCCAAGTGAACATTCGTTGGATACAAATCATGAAATTTGTAATGTAACACTTGATATGAGCATTACATTACAGCGCTCGGCTTCAGTCAGTCGACGTCTTTTGACGTTATGTACAGTTGCGTGCAGTTCATATGTATACAAATTCAATTATCAAGAATATCCATCAACACGAAAACATGAAATCTGGCAACATCGCATATAGTAAAATATTACAGAACTTTCATGTTTGCGCACGTTTTCAGTCTCATTTCTTTCATCTACATCCAAACACTAGGGTTATAAATCATTTTTTTATCAAAAACGGAGCTAGAGAATTGTGGGAACAACTAGCGATGCGGCCCTGAGTCATCGATAGCTCTCTGTACCCAGAACTAGATATGAGCAGTCAACTGTCAAGGGCTTGCCTAATTTATCCATTTAGGTTGGCTAACCTCATGAAGAAACATATGGCAACACTGGTTTCGCGAATATCCACCATTTTGCTATTGTATGTTGTATGGACCAACCGTCTCTGAATGTGAAATACAATTTACATGCAAAATTTCTCCGAAAATTGCTTTTATTTATCTACTAACACTTTAATTTTCAGCTTTTTCTCTTTAGTAGGTATATTTAAATTCTTATATAGCAAAATGCCCAAGAAGAAAGTAGGAAATAAGTGGTATGGTAAGAAGCGTACCACTGTCGTGGACCCTGTATCTAGAGATATAAATGATACCTTTCAAGATGCATCCCAAACGGAACATTTAGTAGAGTCTTCAAATGTAGAACAGCCACAGCCTGGTCCTTCAACAGTTAGGTATGTATTTATATTCCCATTTTCATAGTAGGGGTGTGGCTCATCCCTGGTAATTCAGTTGGACCTTAACATTTGAACAAGTAGCAAGATTTTTGTGTACAGTATTACTGTTCATTTTCACAAAAGATTTAAATTCTGATATAGCAAAATGCCCAAGAAGAAAGTAGGAAATAAGTGGTACAGTAAGAAGCGTAATACTGTCGTGGACCCTGTATCTCAAGATATAAATGACACCTATCAAGATGCACCTCAAACGGAACATTTAGTAGAATCTTCAAATGTAGAACAGCCACAGCCTGGGCCTTCAACAATTACGTAAGTGTTATATTCACATTTTCATAGTAGGGGTGTGGCTCATCCTTGCACCTGATAATTGTCCTTAATTTTTCTAAAAATGCATTCCATGAGCAACTAAAGGCTTGTATACAACACATTTAATACACAATGCTTGAAAGATCAACAGTTCTTACATTTCCTGGTGTGCTTAAGGTGCAATCAAAATAAATAAAAGGAAAATTATATTTTTAGAAAAAAAATTGTATACACTTGAAAATGCTTCACACCTTCAATATGTTGCAATTGATACCTCAAAAGTATCCATTGAATCTTGCAATGCAAAATTTTCTATTTAGAGATCTGTTTTAAAATTATATTACTGCATCGAAAATAATCTTTTGCGTTCTCAAGATTATTTATTAATTGCAATAACATATTGAAAACCCAAAACATCTTTCAAGTGGGTATGAATTTTTCAAAAATACGACTTTATCATTTGTTTTGAGCATGTCTTGCACAGATTAAGAAATATTTGAATGGTATGGACTAATACTAAGTAGCTTCTTTTATGAATTCTTGACCATTTCATATACAAATTATTTTATATACAACCTTTGCGAGTAGAGGGTATTGTATTGTTTTGGTTTGCTTCAAGTTAAGGCATACTCATGAAAAATTTGTGAAAATAAGTATCGATTCAATATATTTGCCTTTGCATAATTTTTTATACAACTCTGATTCCCTCCCTCATTCCCCTTACCACTAAGAAAGTTGTCTAGCTCCTGCTGTTCAAAAAGTAGTAGAGAGACACGCTTTCATAAAAGATTATTTTTGGTTAATGATTGGTCTATTTTTGTAAAATATCAGGTATATACAGGGTGGCCAAACACGTGACATCATAAAAAAAAAATTAGATTCCCCACATCGAGAGGAACCCAAATCACCCCCATATATATGGTCCGATTTTGTTTAGTTTAGGAGTTATGATTTTTTTTTCGGATTTTTCGAGAATTTTTGAGTTCTGTGTTTATTTTTACCATAACTTCGTTAATAATTGTGATAAATGCCTGCTTTTTTCACGATTATGTAGCTAAGACCTAAGGCTTAACTATCATATAATCATTCAAGTCATGTAACTAATACTACATTTTAATTTTTTTCAAAATCTTCGAACATAACAAAAAAGTAAAAAAGTGCAACAACTTTAAACGTTTATAAAAAATTGAAAAAACATGTTCTTACTATTCGTAAGTATCTTAAAAACTTCCTTACGGTATCAGCTATTTACCGTAAAAATTTCATCAACCTAGCTTTACTACATGCTACCGTAATTGTGGCTCAAATAGAACCGAACCCAAAATTGGATAACCCTCTGCTCAATAGAAATTGTTAGTTTCGGAAAAAAAATTTGCAAAAACCACAAAAACACGTTTGATTTTTACTGAACACCGTTTTAGTGTGAACATGTGGTCAGGAATATTCAATATGGAATTTATCGGTCCATTTGAACTGCCGTCAAGGTTGGATTCGGTAGCCTACAAAAGCTTCCTTGAAAATAGCCTACCATTATTGCTGGAAGATTCAAGCCTGGAAGCCAGACGGAACATGGTGTTCCAGAATGATGGTGCACCATGCCACAACGCAACGATCGTGCGAAACTACTTAAACGAAAGGTTCCCAGACAGATGGATCGGACGAAACGGACCGATACGATGGCCTCCACACTCCCCTGACCTCAACCCCATTGATTTTTTTGTTTGGGGATATTTTAAAGACATAACATTCGCCCAAGAATGTGCAAATGAAAATTCATTGAGGAACAAAATTCAAGAAGCGACACATGTGTTGAAAAACAACACACAAGCATTTAGAGATTTAAAACAAAATTTCATACGTAGGAGTACACTGTACATTTCTGTTAGAGGCAGACATTTTGAAAACCTCTTGTAAATAACATAAATGAATAATAATCTGCTGTTCAGTAAAAATCAAACGTGTTTTTGTGGTTTTTGCAAATTTTTTTTTCCGAAACTAACAATTTCTATTGAGCAGAGGGTTATCCAATTTTGGGTTCGGTTCTATTTGAGCCACAATTACGGTAGCATGTAGTAAAGCTAGGTTGATGAAATTTTTACGGTAAATAGCTGATACCGTAAGGAAGTTTTTAAGATATTTACGAATAGTAAGAACATGTTTTTTCAATTTTTTATAAACGCTCAAAGTTGTTGCACTTTTTTACTTTTTTGTTATGTTCGAAGATTTTGAAAAAAATTAAAAAGTAGTATTAGTTACATGACTTGAATGATTATATGATAGTTAAGCCTTAGGTCTTAGCTACATAATCGTGAAAAAAGCAGGCATTTATCACAATTATTAACGAAGTTATGGTAAAAATAAACACAGAACTCAAAAATTCTCGAAAAATCCGAAAAAAAATCATAACTCCTAAACTAAACAAAATCGGACCATATATATGGGGGTGATTTGGGTTCCTCTCGATGTGGGGAATCTAATTTTTTTTTTATGACGTCACGTGTTTGGCCACCCTGTATAGTAATTAACTATATTTTTATTAAAAGCTCTTCAACACATTTTTATTAGTTTTACCTCGGTGGTGTAATTTGTTTCTGAGGGATTCTATATAAAAATGTTTAAGGAAGCCCTACTCATCTGTTGAATCTCAAAAGAAGAGTAAAATTTATGATGAAAATAAGTGCTACAATGTCTCCTTTATATCCTGGTTTAATTACATTCCATGATTAGGGTTTAGTAGGGTTGCCAGCAGGTTTGGAAATTTCCTGTATAAAGCGCAAATTCAAAATTTATTTTCACAATTTATTTTTTCAACTCAACACTACTTTTTTTTCATGAAGCTCACTGCTACAGTATCTCCTTTATATCCTGGATGATGATAGTGGTATAGTAAGTCTTATCAGAGAATACATTTACTTGTATATTGAAACTATTTTAAATTTCATTTCGTACAGGTAACTATCGTGCCTCCTGGTAGGCTCACTGTCTTGACCACAGAATTACTCCGAATATAAAAGAAATATTGTAGCACTGGCTTTCATGAAAAAAAAGGGGTATTGATTTGAAAAAAAATTTCTTGATCCGCTTGGTAGGCACATCTGCCCTAGAATATAAATGAACTGGGACATAAAGCATATATTATAGCATCGACTAGCGTGGAAAAAAGCTATGTCGTTTTTAAAAAAAAATAATTACACAACTTTCGCACCCCGTAGTACTACGCTCCGATTACGGAATTTAATTGTTCTAGAATATAAAAGCAATATTGTAGCATCGACTTACATTGAAAGAAGTGATTCTAAGTTGGAAAAATAAATTGAGAGAATTAATTCTGAATTTTGCATTTAAGTTTCATGTAGGTAGCTTACTATGCTCCGATTACAGAATGTAATTGATCCAAGATATAAAGAAGACATTATAGCACTGACTTTCGTGAAAAAAGAAATGTGTTGATTTGAACAAAAAAATAATAAAAACAATTTTAAATTTTGCATTTGCATTTCAAACAGGTGACTTTCGTGTTCCCTAGCAGACTTCCTATGCCCCGGCTATGAATTGTAATTGATTCGTGTTATAAACGAGACATTGTAGCATGAATTTTCGTGATAAAAAAAGTAGTGTTGATTTAACACAAATTGAAAATAATTTTGAATTTTGCTTTTGGATCTCCTACAGATAGCTTTCGGATCCCATGTTAGGCATACTAGGTCCCGGTCACTGAATGTATTTGGTCCATAATATAAAGAAGACATTGTAGCTCTGAGTTTCATGATACAAAAGTAATGGTGATGTGAAAATAAAAATTGAATAATTCTGGAGTAGGGCTAATAAAAATACAATAATTTTGAGAAAAATTGGAATTTAATATTAGCAATAAAAATGGATTTGAAAAGCTGAACTTTACAACAGAACAGAACTTATTTTAAATTTGAAAATTTAACCAATCCAATATGAGGTGACAAATATTCAGTGCGATAATTAATATAACTAAGTAATTTTAAATGTCATGTAGCTGAAATCAACTTTACTCTGTCACGGAAGAACCTTATTATTCTTTCAAACTTGTAATAGGATTTTATTATTGTTTTCAGACAAATTACTTTATTTGTAATCTTTTGAAATGTTGTATGATTCAAAAAAATGTCAGAAAATAATGTTAAAACATCTTTACATACTTCACATTTATCTATATTTACCATTACCTTATTTCTGATAATAATATATTATATTAGTTGATCTTATTTTATACCTTAATTTTGTCTTAATGATTTGTAGAAGTACTCCAGATCAAGAGCAAGAATCAAACATGTCGGTACGAGGGAAGAAACGCAAATGTAAAAAAAATATGGATGAATGCAAGCCAAAGCAGCATACAGCAGTTCCCACTACTTCATTACACGGTCATGATTCCTCGCAGTTACTTACAACTTTTATTACATCAGATCAACAAACTGTTGCCCATAACAGTACAGCAATTCCTGTACAATTAACAACAAAGTAAGTATACACAAATGATTCATGCATTGTTCAATCAAATTCTATGCCAATCATTACTATACTGCTCGAAGCTACAGCTATACTAGCTGAAAATTATAACTTCGTTATTACGTGTAAATTAAAATTAATCTTAAAAATGTAACGAACAGAATATTCCTTACTTCGATAATATTTTTATTTCCACTGTGTGATTCATTATTACATGGTGACGCAAACATATTTTTTTAATGAAACAATCTATATTTTATTGCAAATTCAAACAGATCCTACTAAAAGAACCAATTTAATATAACATACTAGAGGGATCTATTTTCAAATTGTTGAAACATTAGGCAATCATAAAAAAAAATTTAACAACATGGCTCTTCACAAGTATTATAACTAAAGAACTAAACTTTTTGTTGAAAATATCTTATATTGCTGATATTTTTCATTGGTAAATAGACCACATTTACTGTTCTGCCAAAGTCATCAGCCATCTGGTAGTTACATGGTGACTTGTCTGATAAACGTGAATTGATTATCTTTCCAGTACAACTACTGTGCATTTTCCATAAATGTTCGATTTAAGTAATAGATGATGCTTTGTTCTGTTTTATTTCCTCTATTTTTACATTATCTACCCATTTTTCCAATATTTCAGTTAGCTAATGCTTATGCCCTTATATTTTCACACTTTCTAATTTCCCTTTTCATACGTTTTTTTTTTATATAAGATTTACGGTGATTCATACAATTGCTTTCCAAATTACTTAAAGGACATATTTACCTCCTTAATTTCTATTTTAATTTTGAAATGCATTGTAATATTTTTTGTTAACTTTAATTTCGATTTATACAAAGGTCAAGTATAATTCATAATTCATTCGAACAAACTCCCATAAATAAACCTTATATTGTGAAAAACCCTGGATATAAAAGGAGAATCCAAAAGTGTAAAAATATATAGGTTCTATCATCTGATAACTTTCAAAAATTCTTCCTTTTCGCATTCCTTATCATAAATGAAAACAATATCTTCATAGGAAAAACATTTAAAATGATGAGATCTAAAATATCTCGAACTGTGGCAGGCATGGATTTACTCTTCAGTATTTCAAAATTCATATAATCTTAATCAATGCACGATTCAACGTCACAATAATTGATACATTTTGATAATTTTGGTACAAGTTATCTGGAAACGTGAAAAAATTAAATTAAGATATCGAATTTTTTTTAGTGATCTTCACAGAAAGGAAAGGCCTTAAATATATTGACTTGATACTTCCAAGGCATTATTATACATTTATTTTCGAATAATTTTAAAATTTCGAGGAACACAAGAAAAACGCCAATAATATTTACAACCTGCTGAATGAGACTTTTTTTAACCTTCTGAAATTCACTTTTCTTCCATTTTATGATGAATTAAAATTTAACTTTTAGGAAATTGCAAGTTGAATAGCATTATATTTTTAAAAATGATTGGAACAATTAGAAATACCTCAAAGGATTTAATTCCATATATCCATCTTTAGAGCAAATTAACTTTTTAATAATTTTTTTCTATAAAATCAAAAAAAGAAAATTATACTCTATGTTTTCTCTCCTGTCATCATGGTTTTCATTATGTTATAAGATATCTACCTAACAACTTACTTATTTATTTTATACTTTTAGGGGGAAAATGGAGAAAGGCAAAACACCATTGAAAAGATCTAAAAAAACAAACCAACCTCTGCAGTCAACATCTATAATCATACCTCAACATCTATCACAAAACTCAACAAGTCAATTAAACGACGGAGTTATTCTTAACAAAATAGCCAGCACTACAACTGCACTCCCCAATAATCCCATTGGCATACCAGGCCCAACAGGACTCTCAAATACAAGGTAAAACATTTAGCTATGTTTCAATATTAATTCAGATCCAAAATCAAATAAAATATAATTCAAAATGAAATAATAAATAATAATACCTAGAATAACAAATATTATTTAGTTACTTATTTAAATCATTTATTTACAATAATTACATTTGTCAATACGCACTATAAAAAGAACATAAAAGAAATTTTGTCAAATACTACCTTTTTTTACATTCATCTACATTAAATAACTGATCCGCATAATGTTATAATACAATATGAACAATAATTGTATGTGACACAGGCTGATATAACTTGAAAATCAATAGTCATATAGGGAAACTACTGAAAGATCTAATGGTGACTTTGGATCTGACCTTCTACAATGATGACCTTCAAGATCATACTAAAGTCAATTCAATTTTTTTAGCCATGAAAGAATCCTGAAGAAATAGTAAATTCAATTTATCTAAACATTACAGTAATTTGAATTATTAAGAAATTAAAATATAATTTTGCTCTAGAACGTATTGTAACAAAATTGTTTATTTTTTTCATTTCCTCGGTTAAAAGTCTAGGATCCTATTGAAAAAGAGTTGCCCTTGAACAACCTTATAGGTCATGACCAAGTTGATATAACTTAAAAATTAGTAATGACATATGGAAACTATCGAGACATTATTTTCATGATCTTCCCCGGATATCCAATGGTGACTTTCGTCGCTCTCTGTGTTGGTCGATTCTACTATCATGTATAGCACTTTGTGCTGTCATTTTCAGAGACTCTACCTTCGAGATAGAGAGTCGTTGGGATACTTTCGTTCGTTATTTAAAGATGAAAAACAAAACCTAGGTCATGCTGATGAGTAGTCCATAGTTGGTTATATTTTCACTGAAGGGACGAAAACATTATGTTTAATATATTTCTAATGTTTCATTTTTATTTTAGTATTGTTACTCAACCAGTTGCATCACAAATAACATGTATTAGCAATCCAGAGATTGTTATCCATTCATCAAATATATGGCCATCCAGGCAACAGGACGTCGACGGAAATGCCTCTTTGCTAACAAATAGTGCTCTTACACAGATGGAAACTGATATATTTGCACAACACATTGAGCCAACGGAAACGTCATCTTTACCAACTTTACATCAACAAGAACAGAATGATGACAATATTACTATGGCAATACAAGACGATGAACTCAATGAAATACTAGCTAACCTCGACATAGACAATATGTTACAAGATACCAACAATATAATAGCCGAAAATGTAACCGAACATATCAATCGAAGAGGAAGTCATTACATGGCAGCAGCTGAGCATTACACAAGTTTATATACATTGGGAACTTTTACTTCTACTTGTTCTCATTGTGGGGCTTTACACTTTTTCTGCGAAAGAAATTCCAGAAATATTTACTCGCAATGTTGTAAAAATGGTGCCGTACATCTACCTCCATTCAATCCATACCCTGAACAATTAAGAGTACTATTTCAGAATCGAGAATTCATGGAAAATGTGCGTTATTACAACATTAGCTTTGCCTTTGCCAGCCTGGGTGTTAATACTGTAATCCCAGCTGGTCGAGGACCTTATGTATTCAAGGTAACCAGTAAAAATAATATATATAGTATGATATAAATGTAAATTAAAATACCACAATGTTACTTGAATGATCATTTTTCAGATCGAACTATTATTTTTCCTAATGCCTTATGAAGGCATGAAGCTCTATAAAATTTCAGTCTTGAAATGAACAGTTCACTCTGAAGACGCACTCAAAATATGGAAATTCGACTAAAATGTAAATTTTAACGTGTTAGCAATCTTTATCGCTACTCCTATCAATGAAAAGTAATAAGCATCGTAATATATATATATATATATATAAAATTTCACAAAGTCTCATACCTCTATAGGTACTTTCCAGAAAAAAAAACCCAATCTGATATATGACCTGCCAAGCCAAGTCGTGGAATTTTAATTTTGACCTATATACACTTTAACCAAAGAAATACTGTGTACTTTTCCTCTCTGTCGCGCGTCTTACAACCTTTTCCATTCAAAATGCTTGGTCAACAATTTTTAGATTAAATATCAACTCTCACACCCTTTTGAAATACCCTGTATATTTCAAAATACTTTCAAGATATACTTTTCATCAACTCACATATTTCTGTATAGATAAAGTTGCTTAAAAACCTTACCAGTTAATCATAACAGACTGTGACACCCAAGATGAAAAACATTATATAAATATGAGATATTAACACAAAATCTTTTTTTAACTATTTAAATTAATTTCTTATCACTATCGCAAAGAAGTAATATATATATATATACAGTATGGGAAAAACCATTATTATACATTATGATGAGGAAGAGAGATGGAAATATACAAAAGTATGTAGGTGCGTGAAAGACACTTGATTGTAGGATCTTATCTGGCAGCGTCGAGTGTGACGGACAACGGGTAAAGTAGAAGAGTGATAAAAGAGAGAGTTGGCAGAACGGGCGCTGGCGCCTACCGCTTAGACGGATGCGCTCGACAAATGCGATTTGTTTCTCCCATTCGCAGAGTTGCCGATACCAATATGTCATATTTCTAAGAAATCTAAGTCTACCCAAATTTCGGGAAAAATAACTGCGGATTCCACATAAGAGTATTCCAAAAATGAAAAAAGGTCAAACTATTAAAATTGTATTAATGTTTCATGGTTCAAATCATATTTTTCATGTTTGTATATTGTTGTATAAATGATTTTGTAATCCCTATTCTTGTTGCCAGTAGAGATACAACAGTATTGAGAGAAATCATGGACCGCTAGATAGGGCTACAACTACCATATAACTATCAAATAGTAGTGATAAACAGGGTTTGTTTATAACACAGTTGCCTGGTGTGGCGAATTTGCGCCATAGGGGCGATTTGACAACTTTGAAGGACAACTATAATGGTTACTATGGTGCCCGGTATTCGGGAATCTGACAATACCTGATGATTCCTAACGTTTATTACGCCAGATTGTTTGCTGACTTGCGCAGTACAACATGACAATCAACGTAACTGAGCACCTGGTAACCCTGGTTTAAGGTGTTATATTTAAAGAGCTTGGGGCACTTAGGTATCTAGGTCACATTTTTTAATGTATTTCGAGAAATCCGTAATGTTGAGTAAATACTAGATCACGTTTCTTGCTTAGTTTGCTGAAAATTCTACAATAGACGTGCATTTTGAGAAACAGAGATTTGGTGACGACAAAATCGTAAAAATATAACGCATTTTCCTAAAATAATTTCTTTGTTGAAAAGACTGTGGCTTGATGACCCATTGAACGAGTATAGTGTTCCGCTCCGCTTTGAATATTCGAAACACTATACTCCAACAGCATTCAACTTCAATGTTATCTTTATGAAATTCTAACGTCTAGGCCATGCTGATTAAAAGCTTGAATGAATCAACACTTAACTCTAAATTCTCCACAATTCGGGAAGCTCTACTCAAATTGGCAACACAGCGTATCCGCTTATTATTCTCATTCGTGATACAGGTCTGCGGTTAACGGAAGGAAATATGTACGAATAGCGATGAAAGTAGATGAGCCGATGCGCTGTTGCCAAGAAATGATTTCCCATGTATAACAATGGTTTTTCCTAAGGTGTATATAATTCATATCTTTCAATCTGTTTTACCTTTTTCTACAATGCTATTTATTTTATCCACATACATTAAAAACCAATTATTTCATTTTTTTTTAAATCAATTATATTATTAATAAATTCTTTATCACTTTTATAATGAATTTACTTTTCTTTCCAGGTACAAGGAGAAATAAGACATCATATCTCAAATGTTTCGACTAATATTCCAAATGAACGCAGACAATATGGCAATTTATATTTTTTGGATACTGAACTGGCAAATCAACTTCGGTCTGCTGGCCCACAAAATCGAGCAGAATTAAATCGAGAAATCGTCGACCTCATCTCTAATTACTTGTACAATCACAATCCATTTGCTCAAGCATATCGATTTCTTAAGGATGTCTATCAACAACAACAACAAAGCAATCGTCATCCAACATTGGAATTGTACATCAATAACAACCGTGCTCGGGATATTAATTTCAGACAATATGGCGCGGTACAGGCCAATGAAATAGCAGCCGTATTTATTTCTGAAGATGGGAGACCGCCCCTGGATCGTTGCTTACATGTTTATTGTCGAGACAACGACCAGACTATCCACAAATTACCATATCTTAGCGTCAATTGCGATGCAATGACCTATCCTCTATTACATCCAAGAGGTGAAGCAGGATGGCAGTCTAGAACACCACATCAAAATAGAAGAGGCTATATATCGTTACTGGAATATTATAGTTTCAGAATAGCTGTTCGACCAAATACCTTCAACCAATTTGTAATGGCAGGCAAGCTGACACAACAGTACATCGTAGATGCATACGTAAAAATCGAACAGAGTCGACTACAATTTATTACTGAAAATCAACCACGTATTAGGCAAGAAATATTTCAAGGATTAATCGACTATTTAGACTCGAGACAATTAGATGTTCATTATCAACCAGGAAATATTTTCATCCTACCGTCGACATTCATAGGAAGTCCACGTGCATTTAGACAAAACTATTTGGATGCCATGTCTATAGTCACAAAACACGGGAAACCAGATATTTTCCTAACATTTACTTGCAATCCTGCATGGCCTGAAATCAGGAATAACTTAGATGCAAATCAATATTCCTCAAATAGACCTGATTTTATATCCAGAGTGTTCAAAAGCAAATTAAAGGAATTAATAGAAGATATTGATAAACGACATATTATGGGAGTTTGTGTTGCTTACGTTTACGTAATAGAATTTCAGAAAAGAGGACTCCCGCATGCGCATATGTTGATTTGGTTAGAAGAATCAGACAAAATATTGGACCCTGCAGCAATCGACCGTTTAATTTCAGCAGAATTTCCCGACCCTATCGCGCATGCCAACTTGTACGAATTGGTCAAAGTACATATGCTTCATGGACCTTGTACCAGTGCTCGATGCTTAGATGAAGAAGGACATTGCAGCAAACAATTCCCGAAATCTTTGCGTGAAGATACCTTATACAATCCCTCTGGATATCCGTTATATAAAAGACGGCCAATAGAAACACCTATACATATAGGTCGAAGAACAGTAGATAATGGTTGGGTTGTACCATATAACGCTTATCTACTTGAAAAATATGAAGCTCACATTAACGTGGAGGCTTGCTCTTCAATGAAAAGCGTAAAATATTTATTTAAATATATATACAAAGGATTTGATAGAGCTCAAATTGTCGTACGAACCGTGGAAGAAGACGGCCAATCAACAACTATCCAGGAACCTATGTACAACGAAATTCAAATGTTTCTGGACGTTCGCTATGTTAGCGCGCCTGAGGCGATGTGGAGGATTTATACATTCGAAATGCACGATATGTCTCATGCTATTATCAAACTCTCTGTACATCTTCCGAATATGCAACAAGTCTATTTTAATACAAATAGTACCATTCCTGACGTCGTAGAAAGGGCCGCAACACAACACACTACGTTAACAGGATGGTTCGCCTTAAATACCCAAGATGAAGAAGCTAGACAATACACATACGTACAGATACCTTATAACTATGTGTGGAAAATAACACAAACAAGAATCTGGGTAAAACGTCAACGTCATTTCAATCGTATAATTCCTAGATTATATTTTGTACATCCTAGAGAAGGCGAAAGATTTTATCTTCGCCAACTTCTTTTGCATAAAACAGGATGTAGATCATTCGAAGACATTCGTACTGTACATGGCCGTACGTACGAAACGTTCCGTGACGCTGCTATTGCGATGAATCTTCTCACGGACGATAGTATTTGGTTCACCACGTTGCAAGAAGCTATACACGTACAACTTCCACGAGCTCTTCGTCGTATGTTTTCACAGATGTTGCTGTTTTGCGAAATCGAAAATCCATTAGCATTGTGGGAACAATTTAAATATCATTTATCTGAAGATTATATACGACGCTTAAACGATAACGACCTAGCCTACAACTATGCCTTGGCTTACATCAATCGATACCTAGCATTACAAGGTTAATATTTCTATCAATAATTACTTTTATTAATTCATTTTTAATTGATACTTATGCTTTCAAATACCTTTTTTTATTTCACATTTTTTAAACATATTAAAATCGTTTATTTTCGTATTAGAAAATGTTTGAATTCAATCAGTTTATATGTAACAGTACTGTGATGTAATATGAATTCAATATTTCAATATATTTATCGCTATTAATTTAACACAACATAAGCATTTGTGTTCCAATCAATTTCAGATGAATACAAAATTATATTTAAACTATATTAATATGATAAGTAATTACTCAATATAATTATATAATGTTTATACAACTACTTATTACATTTTTATTTTTAGGCAAATCAAACAGAGACTTTCAACTGCCCTTACCCACTGAACCAGTAGAACACCTAATCGAAGATGAATACGATTATGATCAAGCAGAAGAACAAGAAATTGCTAATAGGAACATTCCTCTGTTAAACCAAGAGCAACGACGTATTTTTACCGATATACTTTTAGCCGTAAACGAAAATGAAAGAGTTTCACATCGTCTTTTCTTTATTAACGGAATTGGAGGTGCAGGAAAAACATTTCTATTGAATACACTACTGGCTTACCTACTAGGAAATAATCACCGTTACATTGCTATGTGTTATACAGGTATCGCAGCCAGCTTACTGAAAAATGGCCAAACGATTCATTCTGCTTTTATGTTACCGGTTCCATTTCTAGAAAATTCAACGTCAAGGATTCGCAATCAGAGTGCGATTGCTGATAATATTAGATATTCAAAAATTATTGTCATTGATGAAATATCGATGGTACATAAAAGTATATTTAATGAAATAGATAGGAAGATAAGAGAAATAATGAACAATGACATTCCATTTGGCGGCAAGATTATTGTAATTCTAGGCGATTTCAGGCAATGCGCACCTATCGTTCCATTGGCCGGTAAGAATGAAACTATTTCTGCATCAGTGAAATGTTCCCAACTATGGCAACACTTTGTTCAGTACGATCTTCTTACGAACGTTAGAGCACTGCCACAGCAAAACGAATTCAAAGATTGGCTTATGACCATAGGAAATAATTCCGAAATTTTACGTCACTTAGAAAATGGCAGAGATACTATAGTCAAAGTTCCTAACCATATTATTGTAGACAATGTTACTGAAAGCATTTACGGTAGCAATTTAATTGAACACGATTTCACACTATTACAAAAAGCGATTTTGTCTCCGTTAAACATTCATGTGAAAGATATCAATGCAGTTGTTTTAGAAAAACTGCCAGGCAGATCACGACAATATCTAAGTGTTGATAGTATTATCCGAGAAGACGATACAACTGAAAATGCTGCTGATGATTTAGATTCCGCATGGCCACAAGACTTTTTAAATTCTTTGGATGCTCCAGGACTTCCTCCCCACATTCTTACACTAAAGATTGGTGCAGTTATCATTTTAACGAAGAATTTAGATGTAAAGAGAGGTTTATGTAATGGCACACGCTTATTGATTCATAATTTGCACGAAAATTTTATAGAAGCAAAACGAGTAGAAGACCCTAATAATGAACCTTCGATCGAATTAATTTCCAGGGTTGACAATATCGCTCTAAACTCTCTTGATCTACCAGTAAACTTGAAAAGGAGACAATTCCCTGTACGTTTGGCTTTTGCAATGACAATTAATAAAAGCCAAGGTCAAACTTTGAGCAGTGTCGGCTTATTTTTACCAGTTACAGTATTTGATCACGGACAACTGTATGTTGCATTATCAAGGGCAAGAAGTTTTGACAACCTCAAGATTCAAATGACAAATATAGGTGACCGTCAATATGTAGCTGAAATTTCAAATGATCACTCTTACACTGTTAACGTAGTATATAATGAGCTATTGCAAAGCAGCATAATCCAGTAAAATGAAGAAAAATAGTAAGAATTTCTTTCTTGGACAAATATTATACAATATGGAATGTAGATATACTTCAAAGACCATTGTACTCAAGCGCTACAAAAGCAAATAACATAAGGAAATAGAAAAGGTTGATCTAACTATAAATTACAACATAAATGGTAGTGGAGGAACCATAATTTCACAAGCAAAATCATGTTACCATATGCTAGGCTGTGTATTCATACTTACTACAATACTAATGGGTCAAATAAGGACTTTTATGTAAGTTATACAAAATATTTTTCACAAATATTCTTCTGAACATCTTATTGTACATTTTAATCCGTTTTTTAGATGAATCGTTGAAAAAATAAACTATGCAAGGAATATGAACGATGAACCTACAAGCTACAAACTACAATATTAATACTGAAAAAAGGATGCATAGTTTGCAACAACAGATGGAGATAGTCCGAGAAACTTTTCAATACAAACTGCAGATTACACCATCAACAATCTTTCCATTTTTAGGTCTATTTTTCAGTTTATTTAAAATTATACAATATGGAATGTAGATATATTTCAAAGATCATTGTACTCAAGCGCTACAAAAACAAATAACATAAGGAAATAGAAAAGGTTGATCTAACTATAAATTACAACATAAATGGTAGTGGAGGAACCATAATTTCACAAGCAAAATCATGTTACCATATGCTATTCTGTGTATTCATACTTACTACAATACTAATGAGTCAAATAAGGACTTTTATGTAAGTTATACAAAATATTTTTCACAAATATTCTTCTGAACATCTTATTGTACATTTTAATCCGTTTTTTAGATGAATCGTTGAAAAAATAAACTATGCAAGGAATATGAACGATGAACCTACAAGCTACAAACTACAATATTAATACTGAAGAAAGGATGCATAGTTTGCAACAACAGATGGAGATAGTCCGAGAAACTTTTCAATACAAACTACAGATTACACCATCAACAATCTTTCCATTTTTAGGTCTATTTTTCAGTTTATTTAAAATTATACAATATGGAATGTAGATATATTTCAAAGACGATTGTACTCAAGCGCTACAGAAACAAATAACATAAGGAAATAGAAAAGGTTGATCTAACTATAAATTACAACATACATGGTAGTGGAGGAACCATAATTTCACAAGCAAAATCATGTTACCATATACTATTCTGTGTATACAATACTAATGGGTCAAATAAGGACTTTTATGTAAGTTATACAAAATATTTTTCACAAATATTCTTCTGAACATCTTATTGTACGTTTTAATCCGTTTTTTAGATGAATCGTTGAAAAAATAAACTATGCAAGGAATATGAACGATGAACCTACAAGCTACAAACTACAATATTAATACTGAAGAAAGGATGCATAGTTTGCAACAACAGATGGAGATAGTCCGAGAAACTTTTCAATACAAACTGCAGATTACACCATCAACAATCTTTCCATTTTTAGGTCTATTTTTCAGTTTATTTAAAATTATACAATATGGAATGTAGATATATTTCAAAGACGATTGTACTCAAGCGCTACAGAAACAAATAACATAAGGAAATAGAAAAGGTTGATCTAACTATAAATTACAACATACATGGTAGTGGAGGAACCATAATTTCACAAGCAAAATCATGTTACCATATACTATTCTGTGTATACAATACTAATGGGTCAAATAAGGACTTTTATGTAAGTTATACAAAATATTTTTCACAAATATTCTTCTGAACATCTTATTGTACATTTTAATCCTATCAGCTACGACTTATTTACCAAAAACCATATCATATTTATAAGATATAAACAGTTTTGTGACAAAAAATGTATGTCCATTTACGTTTTTTAGATGAATCGTTGAAAAAATAAACTATGCAAGGAATATGAACGATGAACCTACAAGCTACAAACTACAATATTAATACTGAAAAAAGGATGCATAGTTTGTAACAACAAATGGAGATAGTCCGAGAAACTTTTCAATATAAAATGCAGATTACACCATCAACAATCTTTCCATTTTTAGGTCTATTTTTCAGGTTATTTAAAAACAATATATGAAAAAGCAAAACCCCACTTGATTAATGTGCACCCAACATTAGATCACAAAAGTTATGAAACGCTCACATTTGGAAGGTCTAAAAATCTGTGATTATATGTTGTCTGCTATTTATCATAATGCTAATGTAACAGAAAAAGCTTGGAAAAATAAACCTTATAAAGAAGAAAAACTCGACTTAACCATAAACTGCAATATTAATGCTGAGAAAAAGACAACTTGGAAGCAAGCTATAATAGGAAAAGATGACAATCAATCATGTTTTTCCAAAAACAGATGGAAAATGCAATCTATATCATCTGTATTTTCTCCATTTTCAGGTTTCTCTTTCAGTAAAATTAGAATTACAAAACTAAAGACACAACAGAAAGAAAATCCACTTAAATAGTGTTTACCCATTATTATAGCAAACCATATATCTATACAATTACAGAATTGATACTAATGTCTGAAACATCTCACGTAAGTTTCTTTGATATAAGATATTGTTCTGAAAACATTCATGTACATTATTTTAGTGGTATTAACTATATTTTTTCACAAACACAGATATTAAATATTTCTAATAATCTGACATTTTAACAAAATTTTTTTCAGATGACATGATGGAAAATGAAATCATATGAAAAAGGGATATGATCTACCTAGATAATTTTTGCAATATGAATACTGGAAGAAGAATAACTTAGGAAACAAAGTCTAATGAGAAACAATGATGAACACTGGCAATCATTTTTTGCAAAAAATAGATGGAAAATACAATTTTCCGTTACCAATTTTTTTTCAGTATACTTGAAATTATAGAACAAGTAAACAAAAATATCAATGAAATAAATAAACAAGAGAGTGAAGTAACTTAGATGATACATTAAAGTTTTGGTAAATGGTTTTTTTTTTGGTACAAATTGAGAAGCAAATTTAATGTATGCAAGGATTATAAAAACACCTAATTCAACAACCATTTACCATTTGTTCAATTGAATATTTATTTACTTATTTAGATTTCCTTTTTTTCAGATATACTTTATTCATAGTCGTTTTGTATTTGTTTTTAATTTTTGAATAATCAGATTTTATCGTTTAATCTTTGTGCGTCTTACAGTTTCATTTTTTTTCTTTTTGTAATAAGTATTTATCATTTTATTGAAACTGAAAGACGGGTGGAAGGAGGGTGAGACTCGACATGCAGCCACCTTCACGTGGTGAGTCTTGAGTAGTCCGAACATGGACTAGCTGAGAGCTGCAAATTAATCCTTTTCTTCTAATATTAATCAGTTACAGATTACTGTTTTAATTATTTCTGTTTAATGATGATAAATGTTGCAAAATTTGCAACCTGTTCAGAAGTAGAAATCGTCGCGCCACTGTGGACCATCTATCTACAAAGAAATCAACAATATTCCTCGCAGTCATTGTCAGTTCCTGTCAGCTGTTTTGATAATAAACTATAGATGAAGGATAACTTTAAAAGCAAACTTTAATGAAAACTAAAGGCAGTCAGGTAAATCTTTTTTTCCAAAAACAAAAACGAAATGCCACTTTACTAGCAATTTACTATACAATCTTACCATTTCAGATATGATTTTATATTTAATAAATTTTTTTAGGCATTTAATACCTTCACGCTGATGTTAGATCCTAAGCGAATTATACTTCGACGATGATAGAAAATGCCATTCAAAAATATCAATTGTTATAAAGCCTAATAGACTTTAATTTTCCCAACAATGAATACATATATCATTATCACTTTTCCAATTTTCTTATATTAATTGTTAGCCGTAAAATCTAATAAATTGTAATTTTTCAAAAATAAATCAATATATAATTGAGTATCATTTGTTTAATTTCCTTATCCTTTATACTGTATATACTTTCAGCTTAAAAGAAAATTCGTCAAATTGTTTTCAACAGTCACAATTTTACGAAATATTAATATTTCAGATCACATCGTACCGCTATTAAAATTTATTTTGACAATAGAAATTTTCCATCTGCTAAAACAGATTCTGGTGTTTATTGTGTCACTAGAAGATACACTTACTATCCTCAAGGCGTACAAATTTCTTGTGAATAATCACTACCTAACTTATAGAGTAAATGATTTTTTTTTAAGCAAGGTATTGGCTATACCAAGAACGAAAAATCCTTATAATTTTTAGAAATCGATCCATTGATAGTGAAAAAAAAGAAGTACAAATTGCTCAAACCTCATTCTTTGACGTTCAGACGTTCTGATCTTTTTGAAAATACTTTTAAAGGTATTGAAATAAAAAATGGTAGAAGGATAGGGAAAGGTAGAAGTAACATACAGTATATAGCATTTCATTAATACACTAAAACAACTAGGCAATTAAGGGCACTATCATCAATGGTTTTCATACTCTTTTCTTCCTTCAAAAAGGTTTAAGTATTAGATTTCTACTGTTCCATATCATTGCCAAAGCTGTCCTATTGTAAGGTTGTTTTATTTTAATGATACGAAATTTCAGGCTAATAAAGCATAACCTGAAAATAAAGCGCTGACACGGAACAGCAGAAACCTGTCTGAAAAACTGTACAAACTATAATCAAATTCAAGCGGATAACCAAATGGAAATGGTATTTACCATTTTGGGTTGGTATTTACCGATCCGTTCAAGCAAGTGTAGTTATCAATTTGGTTATAAGATCCGTGACGTCACGAATCAGCTGTTATATGTCATAGTTATCACCGCAAAATTGTGGTATTTAACCAACTCGAGAGTAGTTTTATATTTCTGGTTATTATTTGAAATGTGACAAGTTAGAGTTTTGCCGGGTATTAGATATTGTTATTGTACTTCAGCTTCATTTTTGAGAAAATTGATACAGACTGACTTCAGTTTTACCATAAAATGGAGCACCTTATTAGTTATACTCATTATTATTTAAATGTAGTTCCT